GATTAATGAATGCTGCAGTGTCTCATCTACCCCAACCAGCTCGCATATTCCTTATGGAAATAAATTACAATCGTATAAGAACTTTAACTTATTACGAGTATGCTTAAAGAGAGGAAGTTAGTTGCATGCTGAATAAGTATTCAGCATGAAACCTTTGCTTCGCGAGCTACAAATTTAAAAAGCCAAAGGATAGGCCACTGATTGGGAAAAGCAACATTGAAATTAATTTGAAATCTAATAAATTTAATTTATTTAGAAGTAAGGAATGGAATTTTATTCCCTTATTCCTGTGGAGTATCCGTTTGTTATTAAATAATGGGGCTTGTGTACATCTCGGCAACAGGTGCGCCCATAAATAAGCCACCTTTCTTTTCTTCATTATTATATCGAATTAATGAAGAAGTGGATTTTAGATATCTGCAGAGTGATTTACTCATTAATAGGAGTTTAATAATTCTTTTATTCGGATTACACTTCATAGCAACTGGCACGTAGCAACTATATACGTGTACCAACAAATCATTAAAGGCGACAATAATAATTGAGTTGTAGATGAGTTAGAAGACATTTCTGTAGTCTCACAGATCATATCAGGATTATCCGTATCTTGTCAGCAATTTCAATATAGCCAAGCTGAGCTGTACTGTGTCCGATGGCTGGCTGTTGTCTGTGGCAACGCATAATCATAAAAAAGACAAAATGCTTTAGAAATAGACTGACGAATTTGGCACAAAAAGTCAGTTAAAAGTGGGCAAGTATGTGACACCAAATGGCGCGAGTGAGCAAAGAAGAATAGGAACAACAAGCAGCAGCAGCAGCATCGTCATCATCATCTCAGAGAGTAACAGCAAAAAAGTTTATGTGCCATCGAGGCATCATTAGAATGGCTAGGCAGTTGCTTGATGAAGGTAACAGCACCCGCAACAATAACAACAGCAACACTTGGTCAATCAATTGTGTGCGGTATGTAATGTAAATGGTCGTTAAGTGCGTTGGCCGGCCTTTTTGTTTAGGTTTTCATTTTTGACTTATGCAAATTACGCACAGACCGCAAATCAAACACAAACGAAAGCAGCAGCAGAAGCCGCATCAGAAGCAGCACGCCCGCTGCTGATTTGGAACATTTTACCGTTGTGTGGCTACATGCCGCTAACTGCCGCTATGCATTGAAAGAGAAATGCAAGCCGCCACAAAAACAACAACAAGAAATATTTCGTGCAACCCAAACTGGTGCAGCAACTGTTGGCGTCACATTCTAAAAAACCAGATAAAAAGCCAGCCACAGAATGCGCAAAATTCATAAAAGCCAGCAGAACACACTGCAGTGGCAGCAAGCAGCAGCAGCAGGTACAACAACAACAGCCACAAGTGGCTAAAAGCAACGGCTTAGCGACTCTTCTTGCAATCTGGCCTTGCACTGCACTCTCAACAAATCACCTGCACAAATGCGCGCACTCTCAACACTAGCTCGCCTGTAACCGGGACACTAAGCAACAAAATCAAACAAAATTTGTTAAGAATTTGTTGACTTAAACAATAACTACCATTAAAAAAGTTCAGTACAAGAGTTTCTAAGGCAAATAAATGGTAGAGAAGCTAATAAAGGATTTATTATCTTTCCAAACTATTACATTTAAAAATATCTTTTAAAACGACCATTTGTAAACAACTTAAACAAGGTTCTAGAGTGGCCTTAATAAAATAAAACTGCATTTAAAAGTATTAAATATTTGATAAAAAATAACAAAACCACAACAACCATAATTTTGGTTTGTAGGCAGCTTTTTGGCTTTCCCGATGTCCTCTGCCCTGCAAACGACAGTGGTTGGAAAGTTGAATTTGTCTCGTGAAATGTAAAATTCAGCAGGTCGATGAATTTGGCCGAATCAGTGGGCTGAAAAGTCGGCTCATCTGTAAAGGGAATGGTGAGATTTTTTCCTGCCACCTCGAGGTACTGCAGAGCTTGCTAAACGATTACCTCTGCACCTTTATTATTGCAAATGGAGCTAGGTATGGCCACGGTCTGTTAAATTATAAAACTTTTTGCGGCTCGACACAGTCTCTCTGATCTGGCTATCAACCTAACATATAGCAGTGAACACAGAAGAGACACCAACTATTTCATACTATTCCTACAAACAAACTTAACTTGTTGTTGATAATTTAAATATGTTTAATATTTCCTATTACCCACTTTTCAAACAATGCTTAAGTTATGTATTTTTTTAAGATGAAGGATATTATCAAATGTAATTACCAATAGGAAAGGAAATTAAATATTAATATAAAAGTATAATATTAATATAAAATTTTTAAATTGATGCAAGATGGCTAATAAAAGAAAGTATAGTCATTGTATTAAGCGTTTTTCAATTAATTACAAAATATTACTGCAAATATTCTTTCTATATTTTGAATTTGCTAAATTTTACTCAATTGGATAATAATTGTTGTCATCGGTTCCACAACAGTACCAAATGCTTCCAAAGAAGAATTTGTTGCTCGGTGTAATCGTCATATTATTAAGTGTTTGTATACCATTTGTTGCTGTTGCTGTAATTTTCCGGTCTAGCACGTTTTCCCACAGTGCTATCCTCAAATGAATGTGCCACGGTTCAGTTGCTTTAAAATTGGCGAGCGCGCGTAAAAATTATAATTTTTACCAAAACACGCACAATTTATGGATGCTATGATTATTATTGTTGTTGCTGTTGTTGTTCCAGTTGTAATCTTATTGTTCATAGCGGATCATGCACACGGCTTCATGTGTGTATAAATATATGCTGATGATTAATTGAAAGTTAATTAGGTATTTGTACAGTTTTGTTTGGCTGCCACTGCACCTGTAACTTGGCCAAGTAAGCTCGACCGATTCATAGTTGTTGGCCATTTAAATAAACGCTATGGTATGTTAACGTTTCAATCACTTAACGACAGTTGGACAATTGTTGGGTAATTGATCTGAACGATGGTGGGTTGCGTGGTGGTCGCTCGGTCGATTGGTTGTTTGGTTGCCATTGCCAGTGGTTAAATAAATGGTCGATTGACCACCACCTAGACGTCAGTCGATTGCGTGACTATTTTTGCATTAGCCATTGATTTTGCATAAGCGAGCGTTGCAGCGCTAAGTTGAGCATTTAGTGAAGCATTATTGGTTGCTTCGGTGGAATGAACTTAAATAAAGGTACGGCTAGGCAGTTTTCTTAGAGAATCAATGTCAGAGACACTTCGTTCAATTAGTACAAATTGAACTTTATTCATTTAGCGTTAGCTTTAATTACGAACTGTATGCTTAGTATGTTTTTAATAGTGATTTCCAAATGTAAGTAAGTTTAAGTAACTTGCTAGAAATTCAGACTCCAATAGTACTGGGGCATCAATTCGATCGATCATGTTCGATTATCTCGTTCATTTCGATCATTTTCGATCATCAATTTCATTCAAAAATTGCGTATATACCCAGAACATATAATTATGATTTGTTAATTTGCACGTAATGTAAGTTGTGAATAAAATTTCGTAGCTAATTGTAGAGATTTGGCAAAAAAAATATAACTAATAACAAAAGCTCACAGAGCTGCTTTACTTAAATATTCCTTACATATTGGGAATTATCCCTTATTGGAATATTGGAATATTCCCTTTTTATTAAGGAAACGACTTCTGACCAGAAAGCCTTTACATTTGCTTTCGTTGTTAAGCACAAATTATATTATTAACCGAATCTTTATAATTATGATCCAAATGTATACTTTTCAAAGATTGTGCTAAATGTAGTCAATCATGCACCGAGACAAGTTTAATTAGAAATAGTCTGGTCTGCAGGGAACTGCAAAATTAGAACGCCCTCGAAGTGTAAAGCAGTCTACATTAACAATAGAAACTTATGAAGGAAGAAGTTTTCTTTTCTCTGTTCACTGTATCTTTAAACCTTTATGGATGTGGAGAGCACACTGTTATGCCAATAAGAAACGGTAATAGCAATTAATTTTCGCCCTACTTGTATAATACAAATATTTGTCATCGATTGCCATTTATATTTTGTTTTGTATTTAGTTTTTCAATTTGAACATTGCTGTTTATAATTAACATCTTCATAAGTACAGTAAGCGTTGCTATTAACACTCGAAAGCAAATAATTGTAAGCTTTTAAGACTTTCGTTCGGTGAGTTTGTGTCTTAACTCTTTCGTTTAAATTACTTTTTACTTGTGCGCTGGAAAGTATGCCACAGGTTTTTGCCGCGTTGCTTTAAACATGAAAAAGAAAAGTTAATTCAGTTGAAAAGCACTCTTTAAGTGGCCATCAGTGAATCTGCAAAATAAACATTAAAATGTAAGCTAAATTGTTGCGGTCTACTAACCCACAGAATTCTCTGCACACTTACACACGCAGTTATATGTTCCTGCCATCAATATACTGAGAGGAGCAGCAACCAGTGGCATTGGCAGTCACGCATGCTCACCGACAGAGGCGTCGGCGTCAGGGGCGGCGGTGCCGGTGGCGGCTAAACATGAAAACTCAATAGCTTAGAACGAACTGCAAATTTTGAGGTGCAGCGCAAAATGCTTGAGTTTAATTACAAATGAAATCCGCGGCGGTGAATGTTGCATGCAACAGCAGTGCCGACAAAATCACGAAAGCGCAGCAACAGGGGGTGAGGTAGAGACGTGTTTGCTGGCCAGCCGGCTAATTGGCGTGATATTTAGACTAAAACAAAATCTTTTTTTCAATTTCAGCGGCCGCTTGACATGCAGCAAGCCAACAATTAGTCGGAGGAGTTGCAAAGATGTGGTATAAAATGCATATGATGCGCTTGCCAGCATTCAGTCGAGCATCTGAAGGCACAGCTGTGAGTGCAGTATTTAAGCTAGTGTATGTGTGTGAATGAGTGCCAAAGGATAAGCCCAAAAGGATCATACTACTCAACCAGTTTAAGTTGCAGCGACATCAACACCACACAGACATGATTAAATACGTGTGGCATGTGGCTGCCCTCATGATGTCTTCTGCTGGGTTCAAACGGACCCATGCACGAAGCGCCAATGCCGGCAGCTATCAGCACTTGAATGGCCTTGAAAAACAGAACAACAGCAGCAGCAGTTCCAGCACCAACAACAAAATCAACACCAACAATCCCAGCAGCAGATGAAGAACCACAGGCCGCTACCTCTGGCGCCAGTTCCCTATCGAGTGGTTTCTGGAAGGACATGTCGCTCGTCTATCGCATCTATCAGCAATGCGTAGGCGCGCAAATGTCCGTCTGCCTCAAGGTCAAGCTGCTGACAGGACTGGAGAAGGCCTTCCGCATGCCCAAGTCACTGCAACTGTACGAGGGCATACAATTCGTCAGCAATCTTGACGACGATGGCGAAAAGGCCAGCAAACGGGCCAAGCTGCCGCCCATTAGTGAGCAGGATATCGAGGCCGTGCTGCCACGCAGCTCCGATGCCAAGGAGCAGGTGCTCAACAACATGATACTGAAGCGCTTGGGCAACTTTCTTCAAGAGCACACGCTGCAGGTAAGCAAAGGAGCTTAAAATTTGATCTGAGATAGAGGCATAATAAAAATTGCTAGCTATGACAAAGAAATACATCTGGTTACAGCAATTTATTTAATAGACATGGAAACAACTAAAAATGTGTGCAACATAAAGTTAATTCTGCAATAATTTCGACCAGAATAATTCTGATTAGGCCCCCACCGACCCATATTAAAATTAGTGATTGCTGTTATAAATAACAAGTTTCAACTGCAAACTATCGATCTATATATTTTTTAAGAATTTTCCGAATCTCTAAATCATTTTCATTTGTATTCATTTATTTCGAACATGTTGTTAGTTTGACGAAACACTAGACCCCCACTCCAAA